TCAGCACTGCTCTCCTCTTCATCTATCTGTGTCTCTCAGCTCTGTCACAATACTACTGTTTGTCTGTCCATGGCCTTTCTCCTTCCTTCATGAACGCAGCCTCACCAGCCCAGTGCTGTGAGCGGGGCCCTCCATGGAGAAGAACCCTATGTTTCCTGATCCTAAGGTAAATGCTGGTGTGGAGGCCACGGGGGCATTATCTATCAAGGAGACAGAGAGCCCTCTCCGGGGCAATGCCATGCACACCTCACACCACCCTGTTTGGCCCCGAGGATGGCTGATTAGTCAATGACGGGTCAGATTCCTCAAGGGAGGGACAACCGAAGACAGGCACAGTCGCAGGGGGGCCATCAGGAGAAAACTTGGGGGCTAACAGAGGTGAGGCACAGAACCTCACTCCCCACCTGTGCCAAGGCCTAAGTCTTCACCCCTTCAGAGAGAGGTCTCCTGCCCCCGTGGCGGCTTTGCTCCCCACGCCCAGCTCAGATCGGGACCCAAGTGACCGACAGAGACCTAGTCAACCGAGGCTGCCCGCTCACCCCAGCAGGAGACACCTGCAGCTACAGGATAGGGCCAAGTCTGGATGTTTTCTCCTTTCTCTTCCTTGGTTCTTCCCCCTTTTCTATGTTTTTCCCTTTTCCTCTCTTCCCTCATCACGGCTCTCCTTCAGCCACCAATATAATGAAAAGGGAGGAAATGTTGGAATAACTTTTGGTTTGCAGCTAGTAGCTGTGAGCAGCTCAGAGTGCTAGGAAAACCTGTGCTCCTACAGGCCTGAGAGGAACACCTGCAGGACGGGGCGCTCTGCTCTAGCGAGTCATCAGTGAAACCACGTCCTCAGTGCTTGAGGTCAGTGTCGCCAAGCTACCGGGCCAGGAAACCGAGAGTTAGGTGCTTCAGGGCATGAAACCCCGGACTCATAAGGCCCCCTCCCCTAGGGACAAAGATGTTTCCAGACTGCCTTCCACTGCACAGCAATATTTAGAGCTTCCTCCTAGTGTGGCTACATTAATCATAAGATGATTGGTTTCTAGATGGTGTATAACCTGCTTGCTTATGTAGGATTGGAAGATGCATTCTATATCAATTGTAATCACTTCCGCATTAAACGAGCTGGCTGAGCGTCAACTGTGGTTTGTCACCAGCAGCTTTCTCACTAAGCTCCCAGTGTCCCGTGTGTTGATTCCATGTCTCTACCTGCCTTGACTGAGGTGAGGTAGCCAAGTGACCCATCGACCACACCAGTAACCAGAACGCATAAATGATTCTGTATGCCATCATGTAGTAGCCCTTCAGGAAAAGTTAGTAGAATAAATAAATAAATCTTCATAAGACTTCAGGGAGGGTTTTTTTTTTTATCTTAAACATGCTTTTATTTATTTTCTAATTCCATAAAATTTTATTAAGCAGCTATTTATTTACTTTATGAACATTTATGTCGTACCTACACTACAGGAACGAGTCCAAGCATTTCTGAATGTTAATGTCATTGAACCCTTATAACAGTGTTAAAAATATTTTTAACCTTATGAGTGAGAGACACTCTACTTATTTTTCATTCGTTCTTCTCAGTTATACATGACAGTAGAATCCATTTTGATAAAATCATACAAGCATGGAACGTATCTTATTCTAATTAGGACTGACTCTTGTGGGTTGGCACATTGGTGGGTATTTCACTTAGGTATTTCCCATGTGTGTACAGGAAAATTATGTGAGATTCATTCTACTGGCTTTCCTATTCCCATCCCCTATCCCTTCTTTTAGTTCCCCTTTATAGATAATCTATTGAACTTCTCTTCTCCTCCCATCCTTTAATGATGGTTTGGTTCCCACATGACAGCAAAAACATTCCACCTTTGTTTTTTTTGTGGGAGGGTACTGGAGATTGAACTCAAGGGCACTGAGCCACATCCCCAGCCCTATTTGTATTTTATTTAGAGACAGGGTCTCACTGGGTTGCTTAGCGCCTCGCTTTTGCAAGGCTGGTTTTGAACTCGTGATCCTCCAGCCTCAGCCTCAGCCTCCCGAGCCCTGGGGTTACAGGCTTGTACCATGGTACCAGTCTCCACCTTTGATTTTTTTGGGGATTGGCTTTTTTCAAATAGAACTGCAGGGATTGTGTAATAAATCTCTCTTCTTTCAGGTAGGTCTGGAGCTGAGAATTTCCTTGTGTGAATGAGAGGGAAGCCATGGAGCCTTTGTAAAAGTGAGGTCTAGAAATCTCGGCTGGGCTCTGCCCTGGCATCACTGACACTGCTCTGGGGTTCATCAGGACTCGGGGGAGGGTGGGCACTGGGTGTGCCAGGGAGCCAGGTTAAAGAGGGAGCTCTGGGAGGGACTGCAGAGAAAGAGGTCTGCAGACAGCAGGAGAGCTGTGGAGCAGCCTCAGGAGGAGCTGATGGAGGCTGTGGGGAGAGGAGTGGGGGTGGGGAGAACAGGAATGAAGGCACGGAACAGTGTTGGTGTTGCCTCTCGGGAGAGAAGAGAGACACATCTGAGATGCTTCTAGGGCATAGAAAGAGCAGGCACTGAGTCATGGAGATGCCAGGGGTGGGGAGAAAGGTGGTCAGGGTAACAGGTGAAGGGCTTGGGCTTTGCTTTTTTAACAAGAAAGAGGAGTGGGAGAGATGAAAACAGAGACACAGACATGAAAGGGAAGGAGAAGGAGAGAGATGATAAAAAAATATAGATTAAGAGAGAGACAGAAGGAGAGAGGAGGGAGAAGAGGGAAAGAGAGGGAAAAGTAGAGGAGAAAGAGAGACAGGGAGAAAAGAAGAAGAAGAATGAAGAACAGGAGGAGGAATTCAAAATAGCAAATTATGGAACCAACCTAGGTGCCCCGTAACAGATGAATGGATAGAGAAAATTGGTATGTATACACAATGGACTATTACTCAGCCATAAAGAAGAATAAAATAATGGCATTTGCAGGTAAATGGATGACGCTGGAGAGTATCACGCTAAATGAAATATGCCAATCCCCAAAACCAAAGGCTGAATGTTTTCTGTGATATGCGGATGCTAATTCACAATAAGGGGCATGGGCTAGTGAAAAATAGAGGTAGTTTGAATTAGGCAGAGGGTAGTGAAGGGGGGGATGGGATATGGGATTCAGAAGGAGAGTAGAACGAATTGTACCTTATTACCCTATTTGCAGATATATGGTTACACAACCCATGTGATTCTACATCACGTACAACCAGAAGCATGAGTAGTTATACTCCATTTATGTATGATGTGCCAAAGTGCATCCTACTGTTATATATGACTAATGACAACAAATTTGAAAAAAAAAGAATAAGTTATAACACACACACACAGAAGATGAAGAGGAAGATGATGAGGATGAGGAAGACTGAGAAAGAGACAGAGGTTCAGAGAGTACTTTACTGCTCTGGAAGATATCGTGGAACCAGGAACTGAAGCCTATTAAGGACCTGACTGGAGCGGGAGCCCCGGCCACACATCTTTTGAAGAGGACTGTGCGCGAGTGCTCCAGTGGCCTGATGGCTCTGAGATCTCAGCTCACTGTGGTTACCTGCTCTCTCCAACTGACTGACTGCCCAGACCTCCGGCTACAGAGACACAAGCCAAACAGAGACACTCAAAAGAGGCAAAGATGTGAGAGGCTGGGGGACTAGGGGTTTGATCATGAGAGGGAAGCGCACAAGACAGCCAGTCAGCCAGGAAACCTTTCTTCCTTTGATGGAGGGGTCAGGAAGGCCACCACTTTGAAAATATCCCTTCTCCCCCGGATCTCTGTGTGACAGTTCCCTGAATGATTTTTAAAGAACAAAAGTCATTATGCAGGGGCACCCAGGGGTTCCTTGTTTCTGGGTGGAGGTGGAGGATGGGAGTCTTCCCGTTAGGTTTTGAGAGTTGAGTGTCTTCCTTCTGTGTCGGCGGCTGTCCCCGCTGCCCTATTTGCCCTATGTACACGATGACAAACCAGGAATGATGTTTACAGAAAAGCCATCATTGCTTTAATCTACCGGAGCACGGCAGGGCCCAGGGTGATGGGAGACCCTGCCTACCCAGGCTGGTGAGTGGCTGAAGAAGGTCGCTCCACTCTCCAACCCAGTGGCTCCAGGAGTCTCGCCCCC